ACGAAACAACAAAACGACAAACTGCCCGGGGCAAAAAAACTAAACCCCAGATGGACGGCATGCCATTCGGGAGCCTCAACCCTAAAATTTTAGGGTTTAGGCTCCCGAATGGCATGATGGGTCCGATAGGGTTTTAGTTTTTTTCTGCCCGGTTGCCGTCTTTTCGTACAGGATCAGGGCATGCCTGGATTAGTCACGGGCTAGCTGGAGATCGAATTGAAAATCTCTCCCATTGCCCCATCCCCCCCACTACGGAAGGATTTTGGGATGCACAGACAGGGGGCATTACTCAGGCGGTTAGAAAGCTGTAACTACAGTATTTGAATGACGACACATCTTGTGACGTCGTTTACGAGTCTCAAACATTTGAATGACGAAACATCCGCTGTTCAAACATCCTCCAAGAGTGCAACACCATGCGCATCACGAGGGAGCATGCCCTCTACAGTAAACAGTGAACAAAGTACAGTGTACAAACGACCTTCGCGGCACTCTGGAATTACTGTTAGAAAGCTCAAACTTTGTGTTCCAACCAATTGTTCCCTCTGATTCGGCATGCAGTCCGAATGGGTTTTAGTTTTTCCTGCCCGCGGTCAGCATGCTGACTCACTCGGTAGCGTCGTCTAGCGAAATGGTAGCGCTACCGAGCGCTACCGACGCTACCGAGCGCAGTACAGTAAATTGTTCCAGTGGTTGCAGTTGTTCCAACCAATTGTTCCCTCTGATTCGGGAATCGGAGCAGCTAGGAATGTCATCTAATTGCTGCCAGAAGTAAATTCTGGCGGCTTTGGAGGCTCCTTCTGTCAAGCCCGCAGGTGACGTTGTTGTCGTTTTTTGACAAACCGTGTCTTTTACTGCACACCACCGTGTCTTTTACCTGGTCCTCGTTAGATTCACCAAGTTTACCCCCTTGGGCAAACTGTTCTTGTTTACCCGAACCGAAGGTTCTTTCTGACTCTTTCTATACTAGAGGGGGGTATAGTTAGGACTCCCTGTAATGAGAGCGAACAAAAGGAGAAGGCGAAACGAAAAACTGGTCGATGTGTGCAGTGTGTGACAGAGCTGGAAAATAGCCTGTCATACATAGACCCTCGTTCTTGAGGTTACTGATCGAGACAGACTCAAAGTCAGGGTGTTACGTCATAAAATTTACGAGGAGACTGGGCGGAAACCCTTGAGCTGTTTTTTTTCGCCTATGTTGTGTTTTTTTACACCAGATTTTCGTTAATTTGTCCTAGCGCGATGGGGCGGCTGTGGTTGTTGCTTTCACATGGTGCTTTTAAAGCCGCGGTGCAGATATCTTAGGAACAGTGACAAACAGTTTTTTGTCTTGTTCCTTCCTGGTCGCCAATTGGCTAGCGAGAGAGTAGATTGTGTTGCGATGAAGAGAAAAAGGAAACAACTGAGGCGAACCTCGCGAACCTCGAAAGTGAGGGGGAAGGGGAAGGGGTGGGGGGAGGGAAGGGGGGAATACACACGACAACGCGAAAATCGGAACCCATGAATACGCCGTCATCTCTACATTGCATAACGAAAGAGTTTGTATCTCAAATAATATGAGAACCACACAAATATCATATTCTGCAAATCAAAGGCACATTCGAGGATTTCAGAAAGATCAAAGTTTGGGGTGGTTGTTTCCTTTTTTTATTTTGGGGTGCAACGAATGTACACATGGCAGGCAAACATGAGTGTATTTAAATCCTACATGGCATCTCCAAGATGAGCCAAACTTCACACCCCTCTGATCCATTATTGATGCAGCTGTCCACCGATAGCAGGGGGGGAGGGGGGTAGGGAAGGACACCAGCCGTAGAAGTGAAAAATGTTCGATGGGGAAATTGAATGGAGGGTTGGCAGAAACAGTGGGGTGCGCGAAGGTTCAAAGTGGTGGGGTGGGTGAAGGGAAGTAGTAGGGTGGGTGAAGGGAAGCAGCGGGGTGGGTGAAGGGAAGCAGCGGAGTTGGGAGCGGTGGAGCAGAGGGTTGGATGTCGTCACGTCTGCCACCGTCGCCACTTGACATCACTGCACACCGCCATCATTGCATCAGCTCGCTGCTGCTGCTCACAGTTACCGCGCTTGCAGGATGGGAACTGAGGTATGATGGGCTCGGGACAGTGGCAAAGCGAAACTATTGGCTGAGGGGACATAGTGGAAAGGGAAGGGTCGGATGTGGGGAATGGGGAGGGACAGGAGAGGGGGAAAGGGATGGCCGGGAGAGGGGTGAATGGTGGGATGGGATAGGGGGAAAGGGAAGGGATGGGAGAAAGGGAAAGGAAGGGTTTAGGAATCTGGGGATGCCTTGAAAGGACAAGGGTAGGGTAAAGGGTGGATGGTGGGGGAAGGAGGGACGGACACCGATGGAAGGAGGGACGGGGACGGGGGGAAGGTTTGAACGGTAACGGGAGAAAGGAGGGACGGCGGGAGTGGGGGAGAGGAGGATTGGTGGTGGAGAGACGGTGGGATCGAGCCGCTTGCTACCGTCGCGCCCAATTCTGCCTCCTGGGAAGGGCAAGAGGCCAAGGTATCGACGGACAAGGGGAGTTCGGGAATGGGGAGGCGTGAAACCGAAGGTGTGGCATAGGAGGATGTGCCATGGGGGATGGTGGCAGGGGGGAATGCCCTGGAACAAACAATCGCTCACGCTTGAACTAGGACAGGAATGGGATAGGACAGGGGGAAGGAGAAAGCGACAGGGGGAATGGGATAGGACAGGGAAGGGACAGGAGAAGAGGGAAAGGGATGGCCATCAGAAGGGTGAATGGTGGGATGGGATAGTGGGAACAGGAAGGGATGTGAGAGAGGAAAAGGAAGGGTTCAGGAAAGGGGGAAATGAGCAGGAAAAGCAGCGACGGTAGTGGGGGAAAAGGGACGAATGGGGGCAAGGGGACGGATGAGAGCAGGGGGGAGCAGTGGGTTGGGAGAGGGGAAAGGAGGGAGGGAGAAGAAGGGGAGGGAAGGATAGGGGGACAGGGCAGAAAGAACAGGGGGGAGGATTAAGCATCAGGAGGAACGAAAACGATGAAAGGGAGGGAAGGACTAAGGGGAAAGGGAGAGAATGACAGGGGGAAAGGGTGGGAAGGACATGGAGGAAAGGAGGGAAGGACAGGGGGGAAGGGATAGAAGGAGTGGGGGAAAGGGAAAGAAGGACAGGGGCCTATAGCATCGATCGCTGCTCTTCCCACCCTTTCCCCCTGTCCTCCTCTCCCATTCCGGCCCTGTCTGCTCGCTACCCTTGCCTTCGCCGCATCGCTACCAATATCGCTCGCTAAAGCCGCTTGCGAGGTTTGGACGCGAGATGCTTCGCCACCGTCGGAACAGATGCTTCGCCCCGCTGCTCGCTAACGACACCCTGCTGCACGCTAACGTCGCCCCGCTGCTCGCTACTGTCGTTATCGCTGCTCACTATCGTCATTGCGCCATCGCAACCCTGCTCGCTGCCATCGCAACCCTGCTCGCTGCCATCGCAACCCTGCTCGCTGCCATCGCAACCCTGCTCGTTGCCATCGCAACCCTGCTCGCTACCGTCGCCGCCCTGCTCGCTATCGTCGGCCCGCTGCTGGCTACCGTCGCATCCAATCCTGCCTGTCGCCATCGTCGCTGCTTGCCACCGCCGATTCGTGAGAAATAGAGGGACGGGAGAGGGAAAACTGAACGACGACAGCGGAGGAAATCTAGCGCAATGCGCTACGGGTACGACTGCCGTGGTGTTTTTTGAGGTACAAAATAGCGCAGATATTCGAGCGCACACTAAGAGGCGAAGAATAGAGATAGATCTGAGGCGAATGGCTCTCAGTAGCCCTACGGGAAGGCACTTCAAGTTAGTAGTAACCTAGCCTAGCGCGAGAGATTGCCGAGTTTGAGTAGTTTTGAGTTCAAGTTTCAAGTTTCAAGTTTGATGCCTGGCCCCCCCTTCATGCTGTTGTGCGGTGCTTTTCCGCAAGCCCTCCCCAACTTCCCCCCCACTCATCATGCTGCGAGGCACTTTTCCGCACGACCTTCCCCCGATCTCAGAAAGCTCGGCCTGCTCGACTTCCAGTGTATACTGGGTAACGCGCCCTTCAAGCTATAATACTTTGAACTGGCGCAGCGATATCTGCACCGCGACTTTAACGTATAGGAGTCGAATTTTCCAGCCCCCTGCCGCCTACGCACCCAAAATGTGCTTGTACAGTGAGACATTTTTGCCGCTGTAGACCAAATGGCCTTATCATTCCTACAGAAATTGTGTCGTCCGTAGCGCAAAATATGTTACTGTAGCATATTGCCACCATCTTTTGCTGTAATAATCAAATGACTACGCGTGTCGTCCTCATGAAATTCGATTCGATGTGACATAAATGCATCGCTTCCAACCATTATCTGAAGGTACTGTAGGGAGCCGGATACATAATCGCCAGTGGTTTAAACGATTAAGAGGGTGTACTTGCCTCGTCAAACGGCTAAAATGTTGGTTCTTTCACGGATTATCGCTTATCAAACCGAACTGAAGTTCTGAAAACACTGAGGCGCCAACGATAAAATTATGCGAACCGAGGCACAGACAGCCACGGCCCACAGGTCCAGCACAGTAGTACTGTTCCACTCTATTCCCCCGGCTGAGAGTGAGAAGTTATTTCTCAAGCTCCAGGAGCTAGTTCTTGAGCCGAGGGATGTCTGCCTTTACTACTACAGAAAACTCTCCGAGGAGATGACCTTTGTTTCACATCTGTTCTCAGTAGACGTAGTAGACTCTCTCGTCAGACTTTGATCGCGGGTGGAAGTTATCATAACGATGATCGTTACCCCGACTATGGCCTGCAAAACTAGAATACACTCGGACTTAATGCTGCTAGCGACTAGTCTTTCTCAAATTTTTTTGTGTTTTTGTTTGATTTATATGAATCAGAAGTACCTCCTCATTATTTCGTGGAATTAGTAACCGAGAATATATAGTCCACAGGAAACAGGGACTTACAAAATTGTTGGGTTACACCTCCACCATGGAACATCAGGTAGCAATGGAACGTGGAGTACAAGTACTACACGAAAAGTGGCAGGGTGGGGTAACGGGGCCTGCATCAGGATTACAACAAGGGCAGATTATACCACCGCAGCAGCAGTCGTCAAAGCAGCAGATGCCGCAGCAACAGATGGAAGGTCAAAAAATGCAACAGCAGCACAGGCAACAGCGGCAAATGGAAAAGCGGCAGATGCAACAGAAGCTTACACAGCAGATGCCACAGATTAGTCCACGACAGCAGCATATGCAGCAACAGCAAATGCCACAGCAGTTTGCACCTACACACCAACTTCTAGAACAAGATGAGCCTGCTGATGCAAGACCATCGGAGTCTGGAGTCAGGCGCACGATATTGACACGCAACAGAAACTACAACCAGCAGGGGAAGTATAGAGGAGTGAGGAAGCGTGGGGCGTCCAGCTTCATTGCAGAGATTAAAGATACCACTCATGGGGTCCGCAGGTGGCTGGGCACGTTTTCATCTGCAGAGGAGGCTGCCCGGGCGTTTGACGAAGCTGCTTTCAACATCCGAGGACCAAAGGCGAAGCTTAACTTTCCAGAAGAATATATCAGGGAAGAGGGAGGAATTCTGGATGATTCTAATCCTGCAGAGCTCGAAGCAGCAGCTAAGATGGAGACGGCGGGAAGGAAGGCTGGTGGTGAGAGTAGTGGCCCGGGAATGCTGAAGGATGGGGCGTCCCTAAGAACGGCTGGAGGAGGCAAGTGTAGTCGCGCTGGAGGGAAAGGGAAAGAAGCAGCACGTGATGAAGATGCTGCAAAAGGGAGATGGGTGGTCGTGGACGTGTCGGAGATGAATATGTTCAGCGAGGGAACACGTAGGTCAGTGTCAGCGGCTGCTACAGAAACAGGTGAAGGGTTAGGGGGAGAAGGAGGAGGGGGAGGAAGAGGAGGAGGAGGAGGAGGAGGAGGAGGAGGAGGAGGAGGAGGAGGAGGAGGAGGAGGAGGAGGAGGAGGAGGGGGAAGAACAGCAGCAGCAGCAGCAAGAGTAAGAGGGGTATGCGTAGCAGTAGAGGCATCAGCGGTCAGTGCTAGTGGGACCAGAGCAGGGTCAGCGTACACCGCTGAAGGAAGCTCCACTATCAGCAGCAGCAGCTCAAGCAGATCCCCCCCTTTCTCCTCCGCCCCTTCCACCTCCGCCCCTTTCTCCTCCGCCCCTTTCACCTCCGCCCCTTTCTCCTCCGCCCCTTACACCTCCGCCCCTGTCTCCTCCGTCCATTCCACCTCCTCCTCCGCCTCATCCTCTCTCCTACACTCTACCCTTCCTCTTACGTCTGCTCCTTCAACATCTGCCCTTTACTTTCACTCCCCTCTTCCTGCTACCTCTCCCGTTTCCGCCTCTGCCTCTTTCCTACACCCCACCCTTCCTGTCAACTCGGAGCGTTTTATATCTGCCGCTTTTCTACGCTCCACCCTTCCTGCTATACATGCCACTGAGAATGCACTCACCAACCTGGTCACGTGTCCAGCTTATACTGGTGTACTGCATGCCTCAGATGTCACACTAACCCTTGGTGGTGCCATGGGAGGTTGTTCCTGCCAGCAGCAGGGTCCATCATGTGCTGGAGTACATGGGAGTGGGCTCCCGGGATTTAATGTGCCAGGAGAAGATTCAGGCAGGTTTGAAGGGTTGGGATTCGAAGGTGTGACAGCAGGTGAAGGGGGGCAGTCCTATGCGTCTGCAAAGAGGTTTATTCACCAGATGGTGGGGGTTGAAGAAGCCAATGCAACCGGAGGCAGTGGGTTCAGAGCTGTGACAGGGAAAGAGGGAGCGGAAGAATGGGAGATGTCTGCAGAGGAAATCATCGGTGGAAGCAGAGGGGTTACTACCGGCAAGAAAGGGATGATGGAGGAGAAGGGTGTAATGCAGACGAGGAATCGAGCCGGTATTGGGGGGGCTCCTGGAATAGATGAGCATTTTGGAGGCATTGCTTCTCGTGATGACAGGGTGGAAAGTGAACACTCCTATCAGCTGCCTCTCATCCACCATTCTCAACAGCAGCAGCAGCACCACCACCACCACCTCACGTCACGGTTCCAGCGACGCAATAGTCTCGATGTGGCGGCTCGCAGGAGGGGCAAAGCGGCTGCATGGTGTGCTTCTGCAGACCTCGTACAGGAACCTCTTCTCACACATGAACCTCTCACACGTGAACCAGTGTTCATGGGGGACAGTACGGAGCTGCACAGAGCTGCAGACATTCAGGAGCAGCAGAAATTCAGGAGACACACCCCAGACTTGGAAAACGACGATCGAGTCTGCAAGTTTCCCAGCCCTCCTTGGTCCGAGCCTCGACTCAAGCCTCATCACAAGCCCCACTCCAAACCTGCGTCGCATATTTTTCGAAGCCACAGTGTCTCTTTCCCCCTGAAGAAACTTGTTGTCAGTGCTTCAACCCCTGATTCCCAGCCCTGTGTGCACAGCACAGGTGGTGTTGGTGCTGTGAGTGGTGCAAGCGGTGCTGGTGCTGCTTGTGATTCGGGTGCTGTGGGTCCTATGGGTGCCGTATCTCCCGCTGGTGCAAGTGTGGGTAGTGGATGTGTTACCTGTACTGCTGGTGTTTCCGGAGCCGCTGGTGCTGCCGCTGCTTCTTTTGCTGCTAGTGATGCTGGTGCAGCTGGTGCTGTTGGTGTTCTTGGTGCTCCTGGTGCTGCGTGTGTTTCTGATGTTGCTGGTGCTGGTGTTGTCGGCGCTGGTGCTGCCAGTGCTGCTGCTTTGCCAGGTGTTCCTGGTGCTGCTGCTGGTGCTGATGTTGCCAGCGCTGCTGGTTTTACCGGACCTGTTGGCGTTGCAGATGTGGTTGGGCGTTCATTCAACCCACCCTGCTCTCTCGCAACAGAACCGTACTCCCTCCTGCACAGGTTTAGACGATCAAGTTCACATGAACGGGGACGAATTGGAGCGGGACAGCTGGACAGGGGAATCCTGCGTGCGCCAGCATACCAACCAGGAGAGGCACCCACATATTACGGCCAATATTTACCAAGTTACCCGGAAGAGCAGCCAGGGGTGGTGCGTACTAGCAGGTTCAGGCACGTGCCTTACGAGTCGCCTCACAAGCAGCCTAGCAGGTACGGCCACGTGTCCCTGCACCAGCAGCATCAACAGATGCAGCAGAGAGAGGCGGAGGGGCAGCAGAGGCTGTGGCTGGTCGAGAGGGCAGATGCCGCAGCAGCAGCAGCAGCAGCAGCAGCAGCAGTCGGAGCTACAGCAGCAGTTGCAGTTGATGCAGCAACAAGAGCAGCAGCAACAACTACCACTCTCGCCCTTCCATAGTACTTTCCCGTTCTGTATGCAGCCTCTCCCCCCCATAGCACCTTATGAGTCGACTCAGGTGACACCTTGCAGTCTGTCCCTCCCCCCCATAGCACCTGCTGCTATCACCTCCGCCGATGTAGCCGCTTCTGCCCTCATTGCTGCCGGTGCTGCTGCCCACAATGCTGCTGGCGTTGCAGTCCTCACTCCCTTTGCCTCTCCAACCACCATCTTCCACAGTACTGCCAGATTTCCTCGATCCAATCACTCAAAGCGGGGCAAGTTTAAAGCCTCGGATGACGATGCCTCTGGGAGAGGAACGATTCACAGCACTGGGAATGGTGGTGCTGGCAGCATTGGTGGAGATGTCTTGATGCAGGAAGTCACAGCGGGAGGCTTTGGGGCTGTCTACAGTAGCGGTGGTGCGGATCATTCTATAGTGGATCGTTCTATAGCGGATCACTCTATAGCGGATCATTCTATAGCGGAGCACTCTAATGTGAAACAGCCTAGCGAGGAGCAGCGGCCTAGTTCGGGCCAGCCTATTCTGGACAGGCCTAGTGCGGAACAGCCTAGTTCGGACCAGCCTAGTCTGGACAAAATGAGTGCAGACCTGTCCGTTTTGGAAAACCCCGGTGTCGACGAGCTGTGCGCTTCCCAGCATCACTTCATGGCAGGTTTGGACCTTCGTCTACCTGACCGCTCAGCGGATTGGTTGCCTTTAGAAGATGAAGACAGACACCCCACTGCAGCTGCTGCCGGGGACCTCGCCACCCCGTTCTCTCACATCGACAGGACAGCATGTTTCAGTTTTGAGAATTATGCCTGTTCCGTCCCCTTTATGGAGCTTTTGAAAGCAGCAGGAGTGGGATTGGACGTTGGGGGAGAGGCTGTGGATGCGGCAGGGTCGGCATATAAAGAAGATGTGCAGCATTTGGGGGAAAATGCCACTGGAGGTGGAATCTACATTGTTGATCCGCTAATGATGTTCTTCATAAATGATGGGGAGCCTAGGGACTAAGTTATATATTATTTTTATTTTTATATATATTTATTATGTTTATGAATTAATGATACAAGTTACAGGAGATGGGGGACATGAGATGGTGGATAGGGACGGCGGGAGGAACGACAAGACATGTGCCATCCTTTCTTCCCAAATTTTCAGCAAGACGAAGGAATGTGCAGCTCAGAATTGCCACCAAGGTTTGATCCTTCTCTCACTGAATCCCCCACCTTCGAGTCAACTCAAACCAAGGTGACTTTTGAGCCGACGCAGAGGTCACAATTCGCCCCAAGCTATGTTGCTGCTTTCACACAGCCCAGCTGTGCTCGTGCAGGAAAAGGGCGAGCTGCCCTTGTGCTGTGCGGTGCGGTGCGGTGCAGTTCAGTGCGGCGACATCATCATCGTCTCGCTGTGTGGTAACGATGAAGATTAACTCGCCACTTCTCAATATCTTGCTGCTGTGTTGACCACCATTGTTGTGGCAAGTGTATCGAGCCCTGTCGATTATGTGTGAAGAGAAGATCATCAATGCAATGATGGTTCTGGAGGGTCTTGCATTGATAGAAAGCATAATATAGAAGCTTACATAATAGCATCAATGCTGTTAAAACTTAATATCGCACTCCTCCTCCTTGCACCCTTGCTTGCATGTCCCGCTGCGATATGGATACGCAACAGAAACTACAACCAGCAAGGGAAGTATAGGGGAGTGAGGAAGCGTGGGGCGTCCAGCTTCATTGCAGAGATTAAAGATACCACTCATGGGATCCGAAAGTGGCTGGGCACGTTTTTATCTGCAAAAGAGCTGCCCGGGCGTTTGACGAAGCTGCTTTCAACATCCGAGGACCAAAGGCGAAGCTTAACTTTGCATAAGAATTTATCAGAGAAGAGGGAGGAATTCTGGATTCCAGTCCTGCAGAGCTCGAAGCGGCAGCTAAGATGGAGACGGCGGGGAGGAAGGCTGGTGGTGAGAGTAGTGGCCCGGGAATGCTGAAGGATGGGGCGTCCCTAGGAACGGCTGGAGGGGGCAAGTGTAGTAGCTCTAGAGGGAAAGGGAAAGAAGCAGCACGTGATGAAGATGCTGCAAAAGGGAGATGGGTGGTCGTGGACGTGTCCGAGATGAATTTGTTCGGTGAGGGAACAAGTATGTCAGTGTCAGCGGCTGCTACAGAAACATATGTAGGTTAAGGGGGAGAAGGAGGAGGGGGAGGAAGAGGAGGAGGAGGAGGAGGAGGAGGAGGAGGAGGAGGAGGAGGAGGAGGAGGAGGAGGAGGAGGAGGAGTAGGAGTAGGAGGAGGAGGAGGAGGAGGAGGAGGAGGAGGAGGAGAAGGAGGACGAGGAGGACGAGGAGGAGGAGGAGGAGGAGGAGGAGGAGGAGGAGGAGGAGGAGGAGGAGGAGGAAGAGGAAGAACAGCAGCAGCAGCAGCAGCAAGAGTAAGAGGGGTATGCGTAGCAGTAGAGGCATCAGCGGTCAGTGCTAGTGGGAGCAGAGCAGGGTCAGCATACACCGCTGAAGGAAGCTCCACTATCAGCAGCAACAGCTCAAGCAGATCCCCCCCTTTATTCTCCGCCCCTTCCACCTCCGCCCCTTTCTCCTCCGCCCCCTCCACCTCCTCCTCCGCCTTGTCCTCTCTCCTACACTCTACCCTTCCTCTTACGCCTGCTCCTTCAACATCTGCCCTTTTCTTTCACTCCTCTCTTCCTGCTACCTCTGCCGTTTCCGCCTCTGCCTCTTTCCTACACCCCACCCTTCCTGTCACCTCGGCTCGTTTCATATCTGCCGCTTTACTACGCTCCACCCTTCCTGCTATACATGCCGCTGAGAATGCACCCACCAACCTGGTCACGTGTCCAGCTTATACTGGTGTACTGCATGCCTCAGATGTCACACTAACCCTTGGTGGTGCCATGGGAGGTTGTTCCTGCCAGCAGCAGGGTCCATCATGTGCTGGAGTAGATGGGAATGGGCTTCCAGGCTTTAAGGTGCCAGGAGAAGATTCAGGTAGGTTTGAAGGGGGGCAGTTCTATGCGTCTGCAAAGAGGTTTATTCACCAGATGGTGGGGATTGAAGAAGCCAATGCAACTGGAGGCAGTGGGTGCGGAGAGTTACTCTACAACGGTAGTGAGCTTGACTACGGGGGTTGGCACGAACGACTAAGAGTGATCGTAGCTTTGCTTGCGTTCCTTAGCACTTGCACATTCACGGGAGAAATCGGCAAGAGTTTCCACTAGCAAAGTTGGAATTACAGAATAAATTAAACAAAAAATGACAGAATGCCTACATCAGGCACCTAACAACCCTGCAGCTAGCCTGGTCGACCGCCAGCACAGCTCGGTCGACCGCCTGCCAGCGTTGCGTAGAGGAGCCGCGCCAGCACTGCAGAAAGGCGACCTGCCAACAGAGCAGGTCGACGGCGTGCCAACGCTGCAGCAGAGCGGCCGTCCAGCGTTGCCCCGTAGAACACAGCAGTGCGCACGCTCGCAGGTGCGCACAGACGATTGGCCCGACTTGCCTCGTTGGGCATCCGTCGGCTGTTGTCTGTGCCTGACGAGCCACATCGACTTCGGGATACCAGCCCGCAGTCGTCTTCGCCATCGCGACCTCGACGACGTTCGCGTGCCTCCGCCGAACTCGTCGAGCAGGTTACCCGGTCGACCCGGACGACCACCAGGTGCTTCCGGTCGACCACCACTGCCTCTGGTCGACCACCGGGTCCCTTCGGTCGACCACCAAGTCCCTCTGGTCGACCACAGCTCCCGTCGAGCTACCCCCTGGTCGACGGGCCCCTTCCGTCGACCAGAACCGTCAGCGGTTGTCGCCGAGCTCCCCTCGTCGACCGCTGCTCACTTGTCAGGTCGACGGACTGCTCCGTCGACCTCCCGGTCGAACTGCAGGTCGACAGACTGCTCCCGGTCGAGCTGCAGGTCGACGGAGACCCCCTGGTCGAGCTGCAGGTCGACGGAGACCTCCCGGACGAGCTGCAGATCGACGGAGACCTCCTGGTCGAACTGCCCCTCCTGGTCGACGGCCCACCCGTCGCCCAGACCAGTCAGTTGCAGCTGTCGAGCTCCCTGGTCGACAGCAGCACCACAGCGGTTCCCTGCAGCTCGACGATACCTGTCGAGCAGCTCTCCCACTGTGAACGGTCGGCTGCTACTCCCGTACATCCGACCAAGTCGTCGGCGTTGCCCAAGCGAGGGCGGGGACAACACCCCATTCCTGTTAACACTCCCCTGCCGCGCTCACGCTTGGGCCTCCAGCCCACACGGCAGTACTCCACGGAGAAAACTCGTCCTCGGCGTGCACCCCACACACAGCACGCTATCACCGCACCAGCCGTGCAGAAGGGCACGGCACCTACTGCTGCACCTCGTCGTCGCCGTCGCCGACGTCGGCCAGACGAACTTGGCCGATGGCGACAGAGCACCGGTTGAAAGCCGGAAAATGCAGCGCCTTCGTCAGGAAGTCCGCCGGCTGCTCGGTGGTCGGGATGTACTTCAGCTCGAACTTCCCGCGCCTCACCATGTGCTGCAGCCAGGCGTAGCGTCGCTCCATGTGCTTGAGGTTGCCCGTCAGCCCCAAGCCCTCAGCGACCGTGATTGCCGACTTGTTGTCGACGCGGAGGATGGTCGGCTTCCCAGCGTCGAGCAGCTTGAATTCCGCAAGGAGGAAGCGAAGTCGACGCCCCTCCTTGCCGGCATCCGTGGCCGCGACATACTCTGACTCGGTCAAGGAGAGTGTCGCGCACTTGATGCGCTGGCTCGACCAGGAGATCGCGGCCCCTCCGAAGACGAACACGTAGCCTTCCGTGCTCGTCCGGCTCTGCTTGTCGCCCACGTCGTCGGCATCGACGTAGCCGATCAGCTCCAACGATTCTGGTCCACCGCCGAACTCCAGGGCGGTGTCGCGGGTGTCGGCGAGGTAGGCGAGGCAGCGGTCGACCTCGCGCCAATGCTGGTCGCTCCTCACCGTGAGGCCGCTCCCCAGCTTGCTGCAGGCGAACGCGATGTCCGGCCTAGTCGTCGTCGCCGCGAACTGCAGCGAGCCGACCTTCTGCCGGTACTCCTCCTCTTCGCGCTCCTGAGACTCCTCGTCGTCGAACGTCAGCTGAGCGTAGGCGTCGACCGAGACCGGCATCTTCGGGACTCGACCGCCCTGCTCCTCGTCGATGAAGCACCTGCGCAGCTTGTCGGCGTAGCCCTGCTGGTGCAGCCACAGCTTCCTGGCCGGCCTGTCGCGCACGATCTCCAGCCCAAGGTACTTCACCACCGGCGAGATCTCACGCAGCTCGAAGGCGGCCTCCAGCAGCTCCTTCAGCTCCTTCAGCATCGCGGTGCTGCTGCTGGCGGCGAGCAGGTCGTCGACGTAGACCAGCACCCAGCAGGTCACTCCGTCGTCGCCGGCCTTGAATTAGAGCGCCTCGTCGACCTGGCTCTTCTTCCAGCCAGCGCCCAGCAGCACACTGTCGAGAGCCCTGTACCACAACAGCGGCGATTGCTTCAGCCCGTAGAGGCTCTTCAGCAGCTTACACACCCGGCCGGTCCCGTCGTCGAAGTAGTCCGGCTGGTACATGTAGAGCACCCTGTCGAGCTTGCTCTGCAGGAAAGCGTTCTTCATGTCGAGCTGCATCAGGTTGAGGTCGAGGACGGCGACGATGCTGAGGAAGATCCTCAGCGTGACGTAGCTGCTCACCGGCGAGTACGTCTCGTCGTAGTCGGCGCCGTACACCTGCGTGAAGCCCTTCACGACCAGCCTCGCCTTCTGGCGCTCGACGGTGTCGTCGATGCGGTACTTGGTCGTCAGCACCCACCGGTTCTTCATGATGTTCACCCCGCGTGGGCGTTCGACCAGCTCCCAAGTTCCCATACCGATGAGGCTACGGATCTCTTCTTCCATGGCGGCCTTCACCGCCTCGCCCTTCCAGCTCGACAGCGCCTCCTTCACCGTCATCGTGGCGATGTCCCAGCGGTGTTCGGGGTCAGCATGCACGTCAGGGTCGAGCTCCGGCAGGACTTCATCCTCCTCGGCATCGTCGTACAACAGGTCGTCGTCGACCTCGTCGTACACCGTGGTGAAGGCAGCTGGCGGTAGGCAGGCGTGGAAGCTCAACCGCTCCGGCGGCCGTCGAGCTCGACCTGTGCGTCGCAGCTCAGGCTTCGTGATCGGCACTTCCACCACGTCGCTGTCGGTGGACTCCTCACCCGCCGACTGCTCCCCTTCCTCGTCGACGTCCTCGTCGTCGACCAGCTGCTTCGACCCTTCGACCGGCTGCTGCTCCCCTGTCGAGTGTACCCCTGCTGTTGCCTCCTGTTCGACCGGCTCCCCTGTCTGGTGCTCCCCTGTCGTCGACGACTTCCCATCGTGGTCGACGAGCTTGGCACCTTGTCGACCGCCGGCGATGCCACTGGCCGGCGCCACAGGCGACGCCTCAAGGCTCCCCTCATCGCCGGTGGCCGACACAGGTGTCGACGCAGGCCGATCTGCGACGGGGGAGGGAGGAGCAAGAACAGGGGGAGGTGGAAGAACGTCCACAACATCATCATCCGCAGGCTCATCGACCTCGGCGAGCAGCGGAACCGTCGCCGTCGAGGTGTCCGTCGGCGGGTGTACCTGCGTCCGCCCCGACGCCGGCCCATACTTCGCCTTCCACACCTCCAGCGACAGCGTCTCGTAGAAGATCACCTCGACCGACGTGACCACCTTGTTGTCGGTCAGGTCGAGCACCTCCCAGCCCTTGCTCTCCAGCGACACACCCAGGTGAAGCCCCCAACGAGCCTTCGGCGCCAGCTTCCCACCGCGCTGCTGCTCGGGAACCATGAACCGCACCATGCAGCCCCATACCCGCGCCAGCGTGAGGTCGGGCTTCTTCCCGGTCAACAGCTGGTACGGAGTCGTTCCCGGCGGCGTCGTCGACCGCTCCAAGCAGTTGCGCACCCAGACAGCCTGTCGAAGAGCGAGGTGCCACCAGTGGTGCTGCACGCCCATGTGCAGCAGCATCGTCCGCACGGACTCGACGACCGTGCGCATCTCCCGCTCAGCCATGCCATTCTGCTGCGGAGTGTAGGGGCACGTCAGGTCGTGGACGATGCCCTTCCCGTCGACGAAGTTGGTGAACGCCTTCTGAGGAACTCCCCTCCTCGATCGGAGCGAAGCGACAGCACCGACTTCTTCGTCTGCCGTTCCACCAGCACCAGCCACCTCTGGAACTCCCGCAGCACGTCGCTCTTCTTAGCGACCGGCATTGCCCATACAAATCGAGTATGGCGATCCTTCAGCAGCAGGAAGTACAAGCTGCCATCCTTGGCAGCCACTCGAAATGGCCCGCACAAGTCAATGTGCACGACAGCCAACGCCTCCTCTGCGTCCGAGCCCTTGGCGGGGAAGGTGTGCCGCGCCAGCTTTCCTCCGGCGCACGAGACAAACGACGGGTCTGCTCC